CTTTCCATATATATTCACAGAAATGGTTTGGTTGAAATGTAATATATTATTATAGTCTATTTATTTCAATTAAACAGATTCTAAAATGAATTAAAATTAAAGTACGATGAGCACTCACATGTAAGACTATTGGTTCCATTCTTGAAAAAAGACAGACGAAAAGGAACAGGCTTGCCTGGAGTCGATGTAATAAACTTGAATATTTTATTGATTTCACGTTTCGTAGGTATTGCAACGTTTCCACCTTAGGTGCCCCGAATGTGAATCTTCGAACAGGTTTTGAAAGTCACAAAGTATTTATTTAATTATAAGGCTGTCCCCGCAGTTACTGACTGCTTAAGAATCCATTGTTGTATTTTCGTATTTTATGAATTTTATGCATTTCTTTCCTTTCCACTATCAAGCAACATATTAAAGCTTTTATCTTGAGTTTCCTTATTAAAATTTCCATGCCAGGATCAAAAATCAAGTTAGGCGCCCTAAGAATTCTCTCAGCAAAATATTTAAATATGAATTTTAATCCATATAATTACTTAGTAGATGCTGTCGTATTATATACAAATATAATTCAGAATGTAAATATATATGTGTAGTGTAAACCAACATGGAGTGGAAGAAACTTCACTCTATCTTGTAGTCAAGCATCGTACATAAGCTAAAAGAATATTAAATAGCCTATGCTTTCAAAAGGAATAAAACGGTTTTCTTTTCTTTTAAGTTTTAGTTTATTACGTGCTATAATGTGATATAGAAAAAAAGTGGTATTTTTACTTTAAGTAGATTGATAAATATGATTTTTTGTTTTTGTTTTTAAATAGTAAAAGCAAAATGTATTAGAAATGGAACGCAAGTATGCGCATAGTTAAATTATTATTAAACAATGTTTTATTTTTTTTGCCAAATTTCTCTCTCATATTTAACTTAAAACAATACTAAATTCAAAAATAAAAAAAAAAATATATATTATAAAAATAATGCTAACAACAATAATAATAACAACAATAACAAAACTCGAAAAGAAAAAGGTTTTAACCAAACACTAAACACTCTTTTAATAATTATTCAACTTACTCATAGGAATTTAGCGATTATATCTGGATATATAATTTAATATTTTATATATGTATATATTATATATATGTATATATATATGTATATTCATGTATAGGTAAAGATATTATTGTTATATTTGTTGTAAAAGATGACAATTAATCATTTTGGTAATGCCTTTTTTTTAAAGAACAATAATCTTCTCCTTTTTTTTACTCCTCCTTTCAAGGTTTCAATAATATTTTGAAGTCATCATTTGCGTTTTTTGCCAAATACTCAAAAGGTATCTTGTCTTTATTATCTGCGATATCTTTAAGTTGCGGTTGCAATTCAAGCAATAATTTGCAGATTTCCAAATGACCCGACGCAGCGGCCCGATGTAAAGCAGTTTCACCGTCGTCATCTTGCAGGTCAATTGCAGCCTTCGAATCCACTAATAGTTTGGCGATGGTAACGTGACCTTCAATAAAAACCATTAATAATTCGCATGCAAAACTTGGGCAAATTACGTCAATGCTATAAAACAATTAATGTCATTCCGTGTGCATCGAAGGGTTGATTAACGTTAAGGAAACGTTCGGTTTCTTAAGAATTGGTTTGCGAAAGACTAATTCATATATTAGAACAATTTTTTTTCAAGATATTCGTAAATAGTTGATTTTTTAAATAATTTTTTGAAATTAAATCTGCAATTGATAGGTTAAGACAAATTAAAAAAAAAATATAGTGAAACTGTAGCTGAGAGTTGAAGTCGGTCGTTGGAGAGTAGCAGGTGCCAAAATGTACAGCCAGAAGTACAGCCAACATATTTCGGCTTTGAAAGAATACGTTGAAAGTAATATAGGATTTTATTCCTATAATAAAGGAGCGATTATGTAATTAGACATAATGCAACGTCGAATTGACTGAAAGATGAAAGGTATTTTCCTCGATGAATAGTCTTAGTGGAGGATGAAAGTATTTGAAGAACCTTCGAGTTGCTTGCGATAAAGACGATTCATCTAGTGATGCATTTTCTTTCTTTCTTGGTATTTAAAGTATGTATTCAGTGAACACTTACCCATCATAGCAGCTCGATGCAAAGGAGCCACACCGCCTTTGGTTCGCGCATTGACATCAGCCTTACCATCCTCGATTAGCATTTTACAGATTTGTTCGTTACCATTCCGAGCCGCATAGTGTAAAGCCGTATAACCGCAGTCATCACGGTCCATTGTTTTGCCTTTCGCTATAAATTGTTTCACGCGTTCCACTTCATTATAAATAGCTAAAAACCAATATCAATAGGCCGTAAACGTGTTTCACACAATTTAATTTAATTAATGACATCTTACCAGCCTTCCATATTCCACGATCAAAATCCATGTCGCTGATTGTTTGCTGAGCTGGCTGAACCTGCTTATGGCATTTGCAACAGTCAGCCTTATGACGTTCCATGTTGAAGGTGTCTTTTATTTTATTTCAATGATGTTGATGATGAAGCGAGAGAGAGAAGAGTTTAAAACTTCTAGTACAGCGTTGGGCATTTGGTAGTATTCGTATTTTTATGAACGTATCCTTTTTAACTTAATTTTTATTCATAAATAGCGAAAATCTCTTGTTTTTATTTTTTTGATTGTGTTTGTTTCTCCATATATACAGAGTGTTCAAAATTAGTATAAAAAAGTTTTAATATTTATATTTCACGTTGTAGTGTCCAACAAATTTCTGCTTCGCCGCAACTGCTTATCACCTTATAACTCAACTGAGCCAAGGTATTTATCATAGCCATAGGCGAGATTGATATCATAACTCCATTCACTACCGGTTTAACAGCATTCTCAAAGCGTTTTGATATTGCTTGCACCTCGATATCATTTAAGCCAAACACGGTACAAGAGCGATCATGCAAAGATCCTTTAATGGCTACATAAGAATAAATACCTTCTGTCGGTATTATGGGTACTGGTATTGTTACCACATTTGATGCATTTGTGTTTGCGCTGCCTGCACTGCACGAAGTTTGCGCCGAAGATGAAGACGTAGGACAGACGCAAGGTGCAGAGTTTACTGGTGTTGTAGTAGTCGATAATTCTTCTTTAACTAGTTCGCTATAAAACTCATTCTCCATTTCTATGTACAGAAATACTAAATTACCCTTAGGTGTTAAGGGTGTGTTCTATGTTGTTTTTGAAGCTTTTGCCGCCTCTTCTATTCCTTCCAGCGGGTTTCACTTTGAATTTTAAAAATTTAAACTTTTTTTTTAAAATAATATTTCTTTTACAATTTTCTTCTCTTTGTTAAAAGGATTGTATAGGGTATGTATAGAGGTTCTGATTAGTGATAGGTTTTGACTAGTTGCAGGTTTATTTAGATTAATGGACTTTATGGCAACTTTCTAGACCTGCCGCTTCACGTCCTATATTGGAGAGATTCTCTTTAACTGCAGTTTCTGTGTCCAAGGGTTCAGGTTCACTAAACTCTTTACGCATTGTCCACATGTATTCGTTGTAATCCTGCTTGACCGCTGTTGACGATGAAGCCACCACGCGGAAACCTAAAATCTGGAAAAGCGAAAGATTACTAAACATTGCAAAAATGTGCCCTTTCTTTTTGTCTTATTTTTACAATAAAAAAAAATAATATTAAATGATTATAACCATTCAGAGTATATATATATTCGTCAAATGTTTTGTTAGAAAAGTATTATTATTATTATTATTATTATTATTATAAATTTAGCCAGAGAATCAATTCTAAGACTAAAGTCTTAAAAGCACTAGCATCTAAGGCTTTCGGCTTTTATTAAAAACTCTACCGCACTTGAGATTTGAACCCACGACCATTGAGTAGCTAGTCGAGACGCTTGCCTACTCGGCCACTCAGGCGGATGTTAGAAAAGTAAATCACCCTAGTCGTGGGAAAAACGCAAATACAGCTTGATATGATGATGGGAATGTAGTGATGGTTCGGACAAGGTAACGGATCAATTTAGAAACTTAACTTTTTCTAGCTTGAACACTATCCGTTGAAAAGCATACATCATAATCAGTAGAAGACAAGTATAAAATCTATTAAATTCCCAAGTCTCATTACAATTTATTTAGACCGAAAGAATAAATTCTAGGACTGAAAGCACTATGAGCATTAGCAGCGACCACTATCAGCTCTTTTTCTTCTTCTTTTCTTTTTTGGGGTAGAGTAGATGATTAGTTTGGAAGCCTTAATAAAATTAACAGTTTTTTTGATATTAAGGTCTGAAGGTATTTTCAAAATGTCCATAGGGTTAGATACTTGGAAAACCAATTTTCGAATATTAGAAGGCTTTATATATGTTTAGTCGTAAGACGTTGTTCAAAACCGCATGTCGTAGGAGTAGAATCCTTGAGGATTTATTGATCTCTTGCAATAGTGTGCCCAAGTCAGATCCTTGCAAATGGTTTTACCTTGATTTTTCCGACATTGATTATATCCATAAAGCAACAATTTTAAATGGAAACTTTCCTGATCGTATAATGGGCGAGTCTTTACTTTTAGAGAGATGTGGAAAGAAGTTGCCTGTTTGACTTGGAAAAATTTGTAAATAGGCTCTTGTTTGGCGTCCAATAAAGATAATAACGAGTTGATAATTGCCTAAGCACGATAGACTTGCTACAAGCAGTAATTAATCCACTGAAATAATCTATCAGTTGGATAGAACAAATAAAAAAATAACGGAAGTTAGTATTATACGTCAATTGATCAAAAATACTGTGCTGACGCCACTTTAATTGGATTTGAATTTAATTTTTGCTGATACCACACTTCGAAATGGTTTACTCTCTCTTCGTTCTTTTCTGAAGGACAGAAAAAAAAATGTTTCATGGAATATTTAACTATTAAAAATAAAAGGCTGAAAAATATTAAAAAATGGCAGCACTGAAGACATTTGCGCAAGGTAACTTCAGCCTATTTTCCTGCATATTTTCATTTAAAAAACAATCGTTTGACCCACACCTACCTACCTATCTACAGCTAAAGTAATAGAGAGAATTTTTGGAAAATATTGCTTTTTGGCGAGCATTTGAATGCAAAGATCACTTTCCGACGCCGCAAAGGCACGAGCCTTTCTCTAAAGAATTGTTGTTTTGAGCACCTTTTAAAAATGCAATGGAGAAAAATGAAAGTTATAGGAGTTTCAAGTGCCCGTACACTGCCGCACCCATAATTATCTTTTTATATGTAGCACTTAACTATTTAAGTGATCATTGCAAGTCAATAAAACAAAATTAAATTTGTAGAAAGACTTACCGCTTTAAGGAGAATGTAACATATTCGGCTATAAAATTGTATTTTTTCTGTTTGAGAAGCTTTTTCAGCTAACCAAATGTAAATTTAAATGTGTTAGATTAGGATCGCAAGATTACAAGATTCGTTTTAGTATATTGTCTTTTCCAATAATTTTCCCATGACACACACACGCAAGGCTTGCTTCCAAATTTTGCTCCAATTCGTTATTTTAACTACATACAATAAAGCTTTTAAAAAATTCCCCCCCCAAAAAAAAAATATAATAATAATATATCTGCTATTGCTTTAAGCGAAAAGTACGAGATTAAACAAAACTTATTAAGAAAAGCGGTGAACTAAACGTTAGTTATGAACAGTAGATGAAAACACCAAGAACGTTTAGTTAATTGTGTGATACATGTGATCAGCAATTTTGGTTTACTACAGGTAGCGATTAAAATTGCAATTTCTGACTATTATGTGTTTATTTTTTTTCTTTTCTTTGCATTTTTATTTATTTTATTTACGAAAACGTCGTATCTCAGCCAAATTGCCTTAATTGTGTGCGGTGTTGGTTTAGGTCAATGACACGCGGGAAGCGTTCAACGTACACATACACTGTATACTCTACATTACGACTTGTTGTATATAAATTCACAATTTACAATTTACCTCCAATGCTGACAGTATATGACATGGGTGTACTAAATAAACAATTGTTGTCTCATCGCTGTAACCACCACACGAAAACTTATTCAATTGTTCAATATCGGACGCTATAATAGAAAAGGAAAAAAAAAAAA